ATTCCCTTCAATTCTACTGTTTGACATGGTACTTTTATTCCCTTAAATACTTCTTAAGCATTCCTTCACTTAGTGTCCTACCAAACTGTTTTACACTTAAATCTATTTACTGTGCTGGAGGCTCCTTGTTTAGTCTTTTCCACCTACTTCTAAAACATACCTTTTATTTCCACCAAAACTGCTCTACATTTTTTCTTGCCCTTTTAATCTTAACCATTCTCTGCTCTCTTTGATTATATTCTTTGCAACTATCTTTTTCTCTATATTCACTTACTAGATTTTAGTATACAATTATGTTGCTTATATATAACTATGTTTATGTAAAACAAATAGCATTCTTTTGAAAACAGGTTCTCTAGCCAAAAAAAAATGATCAAAATATCGTAACCATGACAGACAATACAAAGTACAGAGACAGTAAGGAAATCATAAGAGTATAGAGTATACCTAAGTATACTGTGCCCCTGCCTGACATTTCATAATAATCCCATGCTGGAATTATCAGATGTGATTTTACATAATGGTGTGTAGTAACATAGATGTTGCTTCTTAACTGATTTCAATGTCAATGCTGGGGTTGCTCTGGAAGGGCCAGTTTTGGACTTCATGGAGAAGTATATTATAAATCCAACATATGGCAGAACACATCCCTGTTTTGTTTTTTCCTATAGATCAGATTGGGATGTTTGAAAATCCCTTGGAATGGATTTTGAAGAGGCATGAAAAGCCACTAGGAAAAAAATGAAAAAAAAATTGCCCTAATGAACTCAAAAGATAAATTGGGTTTCAATGTGAAAATAATCCCACTGCTGAGATTTCTGCTATCATACTCATTACTCTTCCAACCAGTAAGCTTCAAAACCACTGCAAACAAAATATGTTTTAAAAAATTAGTAATTTGTGCTATTATATATAAATTAAACAGCAATGTAAATACAGTGGTACCTTGGGTCACGAACTTAATTCATTCCGCAGCTCTGGTCGCGACCCAAATTGGTCGCAACCCGAATCAACTTTCCCATAAGGTTCAATGTAATTACGGTTATTCCGTTCTGAACCATATGTATTTTTTTTTTAAAACCACAAAAAC